GAAAACTACATGCCCCGAGCGGACCTGGACGGTCGCCGGAGCGAGAAGAAAGGACAACCAACGGATTCAGGAGCGGGGCGAACACTGGCCGATGAGGCCGCCGATCACGCGCGGCTCATGCCGTCGCGTGCTGTCCTTTTTATTATTTTACATGGATGCACGAGATGGCTACTTTAAAAAGGAGATGTCAAGTAGCGCCATCTCGTGCAAATCAAAATACTACATCAGCCAATCAGGGCTCGGCGTTCTGACGTCACCGCTACCCCCTGCGCAAGAAGCAGACGAACTTGCCCTCCGCATTGAACTCCTTCTGGGACGTACAAAACGCACGAGCCGGCTCGAACGTACATCGGAAGGGTTCCATAATTCCCCGCGCCATGCAATATGGGAATGACAGAGGCCTTGAGAGATTTTTGGGGAAGGTACATTCTTGGTCCTCCTTGAACCCGGTCAGCCAGTGATAAGGACGAGCATGTCACATGTCCCAGTGGTAAACATGACTTGCACAGCTGCGCGTGTACCTCGCGCACCACATATCTCGCACAACCGAACTTGTTTTTCTTTGCATGAACAACAAGGAATGACTATTGTATGGAAATCAGAGCCTGCGCTACGATCGCCTTGTCATGCGAATTTACAGATAAGAAAGATTTTGAAAAAAACTTCACAATATTTATGTTCTAATGCTGAACACTAGTGAGAAGTAATCCTCGGCGTTTTCCATAACCCGCATTGAACGTATTATGTCGATTGTTTGACTTTTCAGTTTCTAAGAACCAATGCGCGAAGGCAAATGATCGTTTAGTCCAAACATGACCGGGAGCAACTACCACACTTATTTTACCGAATAATTTGGTCGAATAATTCTGATATTTGTTCCCTGTCATGTCTGGATTAAAAAACTGAAAACAAATTTGCCTTCGCGCGTTCGGTCTTGAAAACAGAAAAGTCATATATTTGACGTTTTTGGCGAACTCCAAACCACTCTCAACTGTTCCATCGACTTCAGAGTCACGGGCTCAGTGACGTATTTCCGGGTGCACTGAGGACACGGAGAATCCCTTTGGGTTCTTTTTAGAGCCTCCAGCTCGCGCGTCCTCTGCTTGGGATTCACATGGTGACCTTGGAGGTTGCTCTGAGTGATGTGGAGAGGGGGCAAAACAAGAGAGGGAGAGAGGAGAAGAGCTTGCTTTTCCGGAAGGAAGTCCGACTGGCATAGTTGCAAGGGGAGGAATAGTCAAAGGAATCACCAAGATGAATTAATAGGAATGCTCAGGGAAGGAAGATTTGTTTTTTTTCATATCAGGGCAAGTTGCTCTACTAAAACTGAATATTGTACATTTTTGTCTTTGGTATAAAGGTTTTGACGCATTTAGGCATCTTGAAACGACAAAATTGATAATATATAGCATTTGATCGAGCACGTAATGACACATCTCTCTTGGCTTAGTTCCCAATGCCGCCACCCCGCGGCTGCAAATCGCGAAGTAGTCCCGTTATTTGCTTTACTATTACGCGACATAATTGCCATAGGGTAGACTCTCGTTAATTTCAACTGTAGGAAGCTATGATTTTTGTTTCAGTTAATAGAAATTAATCTTAATATCTTGGAAACTAAAGTTATGATTTGCAATATTAACGGCTAGACATACAAAGCAGATAGCTGATGATTTCCTCCAGATAGGCCTGCGGTTCATGAGCAGCTATGCCACCTATAGAACCTTTGCGAAACGTAAGACATAAGTTTATTTATCCCTCAAAAAATGTGTTTATCGTGGACTGTTTCGAGCGAGCATGACAACTGCAAACGAAAGTAGTTTTCGTCATCGGGCCAACAACTTGTCTGATGTGGACTATATTGAAGGGGACACATGAGCGTTAAAAATGGGCACCGAGTAGCAGTTTTCATAGCTACTTGCGTGTATGCTGTAACGTGGACCTATTCCGTGCCACCAGTTCACAGCGTCCGCGCGAATTGCTATGTAAATTTCTGCGTGGTGTCAGTTTTCTTGCTCATGTGTGCCCTGCTTTGGCCCCATTTAGTGCTCTTCTTACAGAGAACCAGTGTACTACGAAGAAGCAACACCCCGGAAACAAGCTTTGTGGGGCGTTGCCTCTCTGCAGTGCACCCGTGATGGGAAATAAGAGCACTCAAGAGGCCTCGGGAATACAAAGTATTCATTGCACGTAAACACCGTTCAAATTAAGCGCTTTTAAATATAATAAAAAAAACATAGCGGGAGAGCCCAAATTTTGAAATTTGTATGAATTAAGCGGAAATACTAAATAGCCAAGTTTTGAAGTCAAAATAATGCATAGGCCCTTTGGCGGCGCGACAATATTTAGAAGCTAGACGACTCGCACATTTCTTGGAAGCGCCTTGTAATAATAGTTCGGGGGACCTCTGCATTAGACGCCCATCTATCACACTGCTTAAACCGCAAACCTTGTGTTTATATAAGATATGGAAGAAAACATATTAATTTGATGGTATTGTATGGTAGATATGTCACGCATTGGCATAGTGTGTATTTCAGCACGTTCTTTTCTTTCTCTTCCATACAAATTCAGTTGCGAGAAGCCGCTTGCGTGTCGTCCATGTTTCTTTTCTCTGTTGTTGCCTTCAAACTCAAACGATCCAAGTCAAAAGGCCGAAAACTGATGCGTCCCTGTCATTGTTTACACTGTACTGTTCACCTGCCTTAATCAATTGAACTAAGGATTGTTATAATATCATTATCTAAAAACGAAACCGCGCGCTACGTCGCCAACTTGAAACGTGGTGATCGATGCCGACGTGAGAAGCTGCACCACCGCAAATTCGAACACTGTCTTCACCTGGGACGTGACCACCCCGGACGCGACCAGGCGGAGCAGGGTTAAGCCGAGGACTGCCCTGCGGCCATAATTGTCTGCCGCTGAGCCCATGACGGGCAGGAGCACCGATCCGCCGATTAAGTACACGAACCGGAGCGCCCGGAGCAGCCACTCCCTGGCGCAGACCAGGTTGAAATCCCTCACGATGACAGCCCCAACCTCGCTGCCGTAGTCCCAGCGGTCGCAGCTGACCTCGGTCTTGTTGTCTCCGGGCGTCGGCATCGGCGGTTCGTAGCGGGTGCAGCTGCTGAATCGTCCGTCCACGTCCTTGGGGATGCTCGTGTTCTTCCACTCGTCCGCGGAAAAGCCGGTGTACTCGTCGGGGGGCTTGCACCAATGGGCCACAGGACGCGACATGACGAGGGGCGTCTGGCTGTGGACTACATTCATAAAGAACGAGACGATAGAGCAGAGCAGCGCCATCCTCTGGAACTGGCTATAGCCGTAGACGTGGATGTCCTCTTCAGAGGAAAGAACTCTTGGAGACTTGCTGCGGGTGTTGGCCAACTCGGTGTTTGGGTTGGCAAGCTTGTTGGCCTTCAGGCTCGCCATTCTGTTGGAAGGGGAACTTCGGCGGCTTGAACGCAACCGCCTTTTTCGCCAAGTCTTCGTAGATTGCAGCCGATGGAACGGATAGGTGGTCGAGACAGCTGATACACGAAGAACGAGCCCTCGCGTGCGCTCGTGCAAACCTCCCTGCGTTTTCTTTCATCGGCGATGATGATTTTGAACTTGAAGTATGACGTATACAAACTATTTGCGTTTCGTTTCCATAATATAAATGCGTTTAGCGGATCATAAATAGTGCATGAAAAAGACACCAGCAGTGACCGCAAAACGGTTTGAAGACCGAATATTTCTAACGTTCCTGAGCCACAAAACTTGAGCCACGATCAGGGTTCGGCAGTATCGCGATACAAATGTATCGCGATAGTATTTCAGTAATACATTTCGTATCTGTATTTCTGTATCGTGGTACACATTTTACACCAGTATCTGTATTCCTGTATCGAAATACATTGGCAATGATTTTTGTATTGCGATACAATCAGGATGAAATGTATTTCGTTACATTTCTTGGGAAATACTCCCCCCCCCCATCCCGCCGCGAAAAAAACAGACAAAAACAAGTCCGAACGCTTTTTCTTTTTTTCTTCTGAGGGCCCCAGTGTCAACGAGATCCTGGGGCATTGTTACTGTGCTGACCAAGGTTCCTTCCGATTCTCCAAACTATTTTCCTATGAGCTTACTTCTCTCTTCTGAGAAGTGTTGCGTAGTCGGGGACTCGAACCAGGTGGCGAGCCAGGAGTGGAGTCGGAGCATCTTCTGCCGCAAATCTTTAGGTAGGGATTTTTTTGAATCATTGTTTGCTGGCATCCAGTGCCCGCTGCTAGCCGTCTCTTTTGCCTTACCGCCGAATTCATAGATCCCACTTCACTCGAACTTAACTTCCAACGCCCTTGAGTGGGTGTCATTACGTTTCATAAATCCCCCTTCACTCGAAACGCTCCCTCGCCTCGCACTTCACTCGGACTTTTCTCGAAAAAATTCAAGTGAGCGGTGGCACCGCCCTTCAACTACACTCGAGCCTCCCTTCATCGCAAAAGATGGCGGGTTACCCGGGTTATCGGAGTGATGCCGCTCGCAGGATCGCGTCTTTTGAGTTCGCTACTCGTGCGTGCGACCTTGTGTTCGGCGTTATGTACCCGCTCGGTCCGTCGGTGCCGCGGCGTAATCTATCGGACCGCCTGAACCCGATGGAGCTGTACAGTGACCGCCAGTTCCTCGCGAGATATCGCTTTACGAAGACGACGGTGAGGGAACTCCTGACGCTGCTGCCTCTCCAGCAAACCGGCGACAACCGAGGACTGCCGCTCACCCCCCTGCTCCAGTTGCTGGTCACCCTTCGCTTTTACGGCGCCGGGACCTTCCAGATGGTAGCGGGAGACCTGGTGCATGTCTCCCAGCCGACTGTCTGCCGCACAGTGAGGACGGTGACGACGCTCATCGCGAGGGTGCTCTTCCGAAGGCTGGTGCACTTCCCGGCTGCGTCGGAGTACCACGGCGTTATGCGCGACTTCTACGCAATGGGGCAGTTTCCTGGCGTCACGAGTTGCATCGACTGCACCCACGTGCGCATCAGAAGCCCCGGCGGAGATGATGCGGAAGTTTATCGCAATAGGAAAGGAGTCTTCTCCCTGAACGTCCAGGTGAGCTCATATTTCTTATACCCCCTTTATTGACGTAGCTTGCCTACTAAACTGCCAGGCTGGGAAGCATGGGTAATGCTCACGCAAAACGATTTCAGCTGTTCAACCCGATCATTGTAAAACATAGGGAAACCCTTTCATCAGGTGTGTTGTTGCTGCTTATTGTACACCTCTGGGCCCGCTCGAAATAGCCATTGCACAGCCTATACCTAGCTTGCATATGCGACGTTATTTACGGGCAACAGGCACGTAGCCAGCCCCGGGGGGGGGGGGGGGGGCAGTTGTTTCACTTGTTTTCGAGCATGAGCCAACTGGCCCAAATTGCCGTATTAATGCAATGTTATATACCTGCAGGCCATCACCGGCCCACAGCTACAGTTCTTTGATGTTGTGGCAAGTTGGCCAGGATCTGTGCACGACAGCCGCATCTTTGATGGCAGTCGTGCGCGTGCCCTTTACGAGGAGAGCAGAGTGCCCGGCGTCCTGCTGGGGGATATGGGCTATGCCTGTCTCCCTTTCCTGATGACGCCGCTCGCAAACCCTGGAGCGGCAAATAGTCCCGGAGGGAGGTAAGCCAAATCATCGGCAGAAGTATAAGATTTGTTTTGGTACTGCACTGACAACATCACTAATGTCTGTAATAGCAGGCAGTCATTGCCGGTGACAAACAGTTCTTCAAGCGTTTCATGGACAGATCACTTCGCCGATATCCAATGTTCTTTCCTACCTTGCCGAACCCTTGGCGGTTTCGACAAGCCTTGGTGCAAGCTCGAACTTGAGATTATTTTAGCACCGAGATGTTTCAATGGCGCCCTGTTATGGTTTCCATCCGTGACGTCACGAGTGGGATTTGCCTCGACGTGACGTCACCAGTTGTTATCCTGTCTACTTACCATCAGGTGCGACGACGACTTCGGTGGTGTGTTTAAAAAGCACAGTGGAAGCTAGGAGTCATTGCAATCCGAAAGTAACACCGTCAAAGCTGACAATCTGACAATACTCATATGCCCACGGTTTGGCCAATCGTCGAAAGCTGACCGCAGCGGCGCTTTTGGTCGCGCACATCGCTAATGAACCATTTCCCCTAGCAGAGTGGAGCAAAGCGAGGTGTGATCGTGTGGTCTGTTTAAGACATAGCTTGCCCCGCCGTCGGTGGTTCATTCACTAAAAAGTAAATTCAGTCTAATTTTTCTTTTTCAGCATTAGGCAAATGAAAAAAAAATCATAAGATTTGACGACCGCGACCACTAAATTCAATCCACCTAGCAGAAGAAAACGTTTGTCGACGAAATGTCGCAAGAACGAAAAAGTTTCCATGAGATGTCAACAGTATCATGAAGCCGTGCGTGCACGAAAAGTTGTCAATAAAACATATCTAACCTCGACAAAAGAATGTCAACCTGTTATTTCCATACTGAAAAAGAAAATACAGTGATTGCAAGTATGTTCCCAGATGCCTAAAAATCGATCACATGCCTTATAATTTGATTTAGGTACAACAAGGCCCAGATCCGAACGAGGAACTCCGTCGAGAGGGCCTTTGGGGTCTGGAAGAGACGATTTCCCTGTTTAGATATGCGGCTCCAGCACAAGACTCGCCACTCATGCAGCATCATCACCGCGTGTGCGGCTTTGCATAATCTGGGACGTGCAAGAAATGAGCCCCTACCTCCTCCTCCACCCCCGCCACCAAGTCCCAGGGCACGGAATGCCAGAAGGCGGCGGCAGCCACACCTGCCACCGATTCTCCCGGAGGACTCTCCTTCGGATCTGCGTATCCGGCAGAACATCATTCTGCTGAGCTTTACGTGAGCTGCACGTAGGCTCAAGAGGCCCATCACACAGGCCATGAAGGTGAGGAGTCGTACTTCCAAGTGTGTGATACTTCAGTTTGACTTTAAAAGTGAACCATCAGTAAAGCAGGCATAGCAGTTTGAACATGATTTATTGTGCAGCCTTCTGGCTCAGCTCCTGCAGCAGTATGTTTTCCTTGATACACAGGAGCTTCATCTCCATTTCGTGAATGGCATTTCTTTTTTTCAGCTCTTCCTCGCGCAATTTAATTTCCATTTCATGCAGCGCAGCTCTCTTGCTGAGTGCGTCGCGGTGGTCCTGTTCAAGGAAGTTGCAGCGCAGGGCATGCTCCTGCTGGACAAAGGCCATCCTCATATCGTTTTCCTCTGCGAGGCTCCTTTCCAGCAGCGCCATACGTCCTCCGACCTGGCGGGCACCACTGCCCACAACTGCTGCCGCACTACCACTGTTGCACGCTGCAGCAGCCGCAGGTGTAGGAGCTGGTGACCCTGCAGTAGATGTCTGGCTAATCAGGCAAGCTGCTGGGGCTGCTGCAGGTCTATCAGCGATGCAGGCAGCCGCTGGTGACAGTGGTGCACCGACGTCTGAGGCAGGCCCAGCTGGTGAACCGGGCTCCTCTGCAATTGAAAGAACACGTAGAAGTTATGAAGTGAACAATGGGACATACATGAAGAGTAGAAAGGGTTTTTATAAGTTTGAGATTGTATTTTTGTTTTTCACGCAGTTGCAATTTGAAGTATTTGATTTTTTTTTTCTGCTGCTGATCTAATGTGTAACAATGTTTTCATCCATTTTGAACCTGTGCCATAAACTAGGCTACTAGATCACTTAACCGTTTCCACCTTTTGGAGTGCTTGGTATAGATATTTCTTGGCAGAAATCATGCTATGATTATTTTAATACCCTGTGCTGTTTGTTTCTTTGTCAGGGGAGTATGGTCATTGTTAGTCTGCAGTAGTTGCCATGTACTGTTTTGAAGCTGTATGGAACCCAGCCCTGCAATGATATATGTTACCTTGTACATAAGTAATGTACATGTTGTTCGCACCATTTGTTCATTTTTACTAAATTATCTTGAAATTGAATGTTGTCATGCACACTTTTTACTTTGTTATTGACGACACAGTCATCTGCAACAAGATTAATATTAGATGAGATGGTTGCTGCAAGGTCATTCATGATTATTAAAAAACGTAGGGGTGCCAGTATGTACTACTGAGGAACACCAGGTGAAACATTTCTGAAGGCAGACTCATTATGATTTATAACCGTATCCATGCATATCCATGAGAAGATCAGTGGGTAAAGACGAAAAGGTACCAGTTTAGAAAGTACAGGTCAAGACATGGAAACGGTTCAAGCATTCTACCCAAGTCGGCATCAAGAGGGTCCTCCTCGCCGTCCAGCATCGGCTGCAGTAGTCGGAGAACTGGGAGGCTGCAGACCGGGGGCAGATAGGGTGCCCCATCGCTGTCCTCCATATTTTCCTGTCTGTTGAACACGTGTGAGGCCACCGCCCCAACCAGCACGGAGGTGGCGCTCATTGGCTTGCCAGATGGCCCCCCTCCTAAAGGAGCAAACAGTAGTCAATCTAGGCACTCCAAGTTCTAATGTTATCTAAGATCTGTTTTCCTTTTTAAATATACCCCGATTTATAGGCATGCATTTGCTGATAGGGAATGTTCATCCCCTCTGCCCCATGCGTAATGAAATGAAATATTGAGCATCTGGGTGTTGTCAGTTGTGATCTACTGTACATGTCCGCCGCAAAAACTGCAAGTAGAATTACTGATTTAACGGTAGTATTATATCGTGCTGCGGTTCCGTTCATGCTGCTCGATTGTCAGGTTACTACGGTATTCAACTGACAGCATTAGGTTGCATAACCGACTTGTCTGCGCACGTTCACGCTCCATCCCCCATGACAGGTATTCCAGAAACAACAGTTCGAAACAAGGGCGAATTTGTGACCGACAGTTCGGGCTACAAATGTGACCCATCGCTCATTCCGAGGCACTTTCAGCGCGATGAGAAACCTGAACGAGAGACTTGCCTGTTTTGTGGACCTTGTTTTTTTCTTTGGAATGGTCCTTCTTCGCTTTGGCCTTCACATTTTCCCACCATTTGTTTAGCTGTTTCACGTCCCGTCGATATACACCGTGGTTGCAGTTATACTCGTTGCAGAGTCGAATCCAAGTTGCCTTTTTTTTGTTTAACGACGATTCGTCGGTCTTTTTACATTCGATGATTTTTTGTACGTCATTACAAGTTCCATCAGTATTGCCTTTTCGATCTCTGTGAACCGCGCAGCGGGTGCCTTGGCCTTATCCATTACACGCTACGGAAATGAAAACTTTAAAAGAACAAACCAGCAGGGCAAGTAAACACGAAAAGGCAACGGCGGTGGTGGCGTTGGAACAAGGATATCGGAAGGACTTGGAATGTATTCAGCATGGATATTGATGGCTATATTGCTGGCCAATTTAGTTTGAAAGAAGATGCACGAGCTACGTTCGTTTCTGAAATCGCAACATGTTTGTTATGTGCTAATATTTCTTTATAAACACAAATTATGTAAACACACTAAGAATTAACTTACTTTTGTGGTCTTACGCAAAGTATAAATATAAATTTCTTTTCTACTCTCGCTCCCGGACGCATCCCGTAGAAGGGCTCCCTTCACTTGCTCGAGTGAAAGCGAAGTGCCATTTCAGAATGGTAAACCTCACTTCAAGTGGAAGTGCCCCTTCAACCGCCCTTCTGTAAGTGAAGGGTCGCCCTTCACTTGGCATGACTCGGAGTGACATCTATGAATTCGGCGGTAGCCTACACACTACAGCCAGCCGGCACAGCTGAATCAGAGTCTGTTGCAGCACGACTAAGATAAGACGTGTTCCAGGATGCTTCAGATGGTTCACTACTCTCAAAAAATGTCAAATGACACTGACAAATGACACGAGGTAACCTACAACGAAAAAACGTATTGTCCTTTCATACAGCAGCGTGGTAAAGTTTCATGTTCAAGGCCACACCCCCAGATAAAAAAATACCAGTTCATTCCACCGTGGCGTCATGTGATCAGTGTTGACAGGGGCGTCCTTATTCGACAGGGGCGAAGTGGCGTTTTGATGGGATTTTGGGTAACAGAATTTATTTAGAGGTCAAATACTTTTCGCATCCCTCGACAGAAAGACAGGATGACAGGGGAAGGACCGCGGTCAGTCCTAGATGGAACGTCTTTTTCAGCCCATTGAAGACTCCTCGTTGTCCGAAACCATACCGTCAAGGCAAAGTGCCAAGCCTACGGGAAAGTAATTTCGGGACAAAAACTTCCACTCAAATTTCAAGCTTCATCTCAGGTGGCGTCTCAAACAAATTAGAAAAATGTATTGCAGTATCAGTATTTCTGTATTTGTATTTCTGCTCTCCCTAAAATGTATTCCTGTATTTGTATTTCCAAAGACTTTTTGCCTCCATTTGAAATGTATTTTCGATACGTATCGCGATACATTTTTACAGATATATTTTAGTACAGTATTTTAGGTACTATTTTAATATATCCCAGTACTTGTATTCCCAAATACATTTTTGAGTATTTCTGCGCCACCCCGGCCACCAATATTACTTAAACCAAAAACTTAACCCCCCCCCCCCCCCCCCATCCAAAAAAAAAAACTTACGCTGCAGATTGACGAAACTGTAGCCATCCAGGGGTGCTATTCTGGGGTGCTATCCAGAGCCGTTTATACTGAGAGAGTTTGGCCTTCTTAAGGAGATTTTGACAGTCTGACAACCACAGCAGCGTAGTCTGACAACCGGGGGATGACTACTTCCGTCCGCCATATTGTGGCTCTGACTCATAGGAACTCTACCCGATTTCTCAGGAATGAACAAGACAAAGAAGTAACGCCATATTGTGTTATCGCGAAATCCGCTTGTTCTAGCGGCCAACAAGCTCCGCCCATCGGCCAAACTCTCTCAGTATAAACGGCTCTGGTGCTATCCTGGTCACAAACGGTCACGTTCGTGTTTTTCGAAAACTCCTCCCCCTTACGAACCGCGCGCTCCTATTGGCCACAGCCCGCGTGATAATTCCACGCGGTTCCCATGGGAACGTTCGCGAAACACGAAAGCAACCGTTTGCCGCAACTGTCGCTCTTCGAGTTCGGACCGTGACGACAAAGTGACGTATGACCACGTCCGACCTACGTAGCACATAGCGGAAGTCGCGTCACTAGATTAACTGCGGTATTACTCGACACACCCTACTCTCTGTTTCACTATGAGTGCGAGCTAGTGCGGGTGTAGGAGCTACATGAACGTGCTCCGGGCTTTCAACGTTCCTGTCGAGCAGGCGCGCTTGCGCAGTGCAAGCCAACGTTCGTGCAAGATCGTTCGGGGTGATGCGCTCGTGCTTTTAACCTCTCTTTCTATTGCACGAAGGGGAACAAGCTTTGGGCAGGATTCTAGAGCGTAGGAAATGGCGGCGATGCTTGTTGCTCAACGATGGCTCGACCAACACGTACAATGACGGGTTTTCCGCAAGCACCCGGTTGCCTTCGCGATGCACGACGACTGTTTCTGACGACAATACCGCTTGTCGAAAAGCACTGTGTGATCGCAGTGTGACAACGAGAGACGGCGACGATGAGAGATGATGACCGTCGAGCAGCAGCTACTAATTGAATCTTACTGAGATTTTTCGCAACGGAGAACTACAAGGGCGCGGTTGCCCCCGATGATCACATAGCTAATGCCCAGTGGATGGTGATCAGAGCCGTGACGGCCGTCGTGAGTACCGCTGTCAACCGGCTGGGAAGAGACGGTTGGGTCGACAAAACCCGGACCGAGGCAGCTGAGGCACGTGCGAAAGAAGGCTTTCGTCGCCACCATGACAACCACACCGACGTCGTCGGGTGCGTTGACTAAACTTGGACTCTAACTAAACCTTCGTCACCGTCATCATCGGTCTGAAGGAGACCGTCACCATTCTGAAG